AGAGGGCGCCTTCCCTCGTGTAGATACATTTTTGATTAAACAGATGGCAAGAATAGAATAATACTCACAATAGAGACGATAACAATTGAGCCTTCAAAGTCAAAAGTTGATCCTGAGTCTTAAAGGAGAACTATGAGGTGAGTGAAAAATCACTCCTCCTCATAGTTGGAGCCGACATGTGACAATGAGACTGTCACACGTTGGCTCAATAGATCTGTCACTCACGGCTCCCTGCAGGGATTCCCCACCTCCCCGCTCCGAACCTCCAGCGCTGGCCAAATGGACGGGGAGGGGGGGCGGGAACAGCTGGCTCTGCCTCTAGATAGGCGGAGCCAGCTGTCACTCACGCAGCTGGGTGGACCCAGACATCGATGTCGGGATCCGTCCCGGCTGCGGCGTCTCAGTATACCGCGAGCTGTATATGCTGAGCTTAGGGTGACGGGAGGACGCTAGTTTGTGTCCTCCCGTTACCCTAAGGAGAACTATGGGGAGAAACACTGACCCCATAGTTCTCCTTTAAGTTTCCCGCTGATGCCGCACTTGTCCTTGTTATACATAGAGATCTTGGGGCTGATATATGAAGGACGGAACAATGGCGGAGCAGCCAAATCCCTTCTCACGTCAGAGACCCGCCCGCCTGCTGCAGCAGAGACACTTTCTTTGCTCTGTAGATCTGACCCGCAATGTTTCCCTGTTATCTGAGTATTTCTGTTTTCCCTGAACTGTCCTCTTTTCTGACAGGTCCTCTTTGAAGATGCGTTCGGGGAGCCGGAGGGGTCGCACAGTATCCCCGGGGTGTGGGGGATGTCCTACAAGACGTTCCGAGGGGTGAAGAACTGCTGTTACATCGTGCTGTCCATCCTGTGCGGCTGCCCGCTGGCCTTCTGCTGGGCGCTGGAGTTCGCCTGCGTCCAGTGCTGCCACGTCTGGTGCGTCGGGCCCTGCATACGCCTCTGGAACATGAACGTGTCCTGTCTGAAGTTGTTCTGGAGCTCCTGCGTCCACTGTCTGTGCGACCCGTGCTACGAAGCCTGCGGCCTGTGCTTCAGCCTCATCCGGGTCCAGAATAAGAATGGATAAAGGGACCGGTGGCCCCCGTCACTGACCTCCGGCGCCAGAACTTGCCAAAGCCATCCTCACCACCAGCGTCCAACCCGTCCCTACCAGTCACTGTGGCCGGTCGTCACCGACGGCAACAACAAGCCGTGACTCTCATTCATTCTGTATATTTCTTCTGTATCAATAAAGAGTTTTCACATCCGGCTCAGTCCCGTGTATGATGCATGAGGCGTGACTATAACACGCAGGGAGTGTTCCTCCAAAACAAGACTGAGCATCACATATATGTTTTCCTGTCCAGACCCCCATGCTGAGTTATGTGTCATGTGACCCTTCCAGGCATTTATCACCTCTCACAGAGATCACGTGACTTCCCCTGACTAACCCTTTTATATCTGTCTGGAGTTCATCTTTAATTCATTATTTTATTGGATGGGGGCGGGGGGAGATCAAAGCTCATGGAATATAGACAGTATTAAACATACAAGTGCTGAAGAAACACGAGACACAACCACACACAGACAGAGGAGGCGGGGCACAGGGAAAACACAAGAATAAAAACAGAGAAGATGCTCAATGGAGGAACAATTCCAGCAAGAAAGTCAACAAGTCGGCATCTGAAATAATTCTCCGAGAAAGAGTCAGGTGACCCATAAAGAAGATGCAGCTTTCACGTTTCAGCCTGGAAGGGCTTTAGTAAGAGAGATATGACTGAGGCGCTCCGTGGCGGAAACGCTGAAAAAGCCGAATCTGTTATAAGGGACCCGACTCTCCAATAAAGTATCTCAGGGAAGGTTTCCAGTGCCGGCGTGTCTTCATTCTTGGTGAGGAGAAAGGATTGTTGCTGAGCACTGAGTGGAGTGCGGGATGGATGGGGGGCCGGAGTTCCCTTCTCTTCATAGAAAGAGGAATATTCATTTGTTACTGGCTGTGCAGAGCAGAATTTCCCGGCCACAGACCCAGAATCCTGAGGTTCCTCCAGATGTTATGAGGGGTCCCCGGAGCAATTCTTCCCACTGACCCCCAATGTAAGGAGCATTCTTCCCACTGACCCCCAATGTAAGGGGCATTCTTCCCACTGACCCCCAATGTAAGGGGCATTCTTCCCACTGACCCCCAATGTAAGGGGCATTCTTCCCACTGACCCCCAATGTAAGGGGCATTCTTCCCACTGACCCCCAATGTAAGGGGCATTCTTCCCACTGACCCCCAATGTAAGGGGCATTCTTCCCACTGACCCCCAATGTAAGGGGCATTCTTCCCACTGACCCCCAATGTAAGGGGCATTCTTCCCACTGACCCCCAATGTAAGGGGCATTCTTCCCACTGACCCCCAATGTAAGGGGCATTCTTCCCACTGACCCCCAATGTAAGGGGCATTCTTCCCACTGACCCCCAATGTAAGGGGCATTCTTCCCACTGACCCCCAATGTAAGGGGCATTCTTCCCACTGACCCCCAATGTAAGGGGCATTCTTCCCACTGACCCCCAATGTAAGGGGCATTCTTCCCACTGACCCCCAATGTAAGGGGCATTCTTCCCACTGACCCCCAATGTAAGGGGCATTCTTCCCACTGACCCCCAATGTAAGGGGCATTCTTCCCACTGACCCCCAATGTAAGGGGCATTCTTCCCACTGACCCCCAATGTAAGGGGCATTCTTCCCACTGACCCCCAATGTAAGGGGCATTCTTCCCACTGACCCCCAATGTAAGGGGCATTCTTCCCACTGACCCCCAATGTAAGGGGCATTCTTCCCACTGACCCCCAATGTAAGGGGCATTCTTCCCACTGACCCCCAATGTAAGGGGCATTCTTCCCACTGACCCCCAATGTAAGGGGCATTCTTCCCACTGACCCCCAATGTAAGGGGCATTCTTCCCACTGACCCCCAATGTAAGGGGCATTCTTCCCACTGACCCCCAATGTAAGGGGCATTCTTCCCACTGACCCCCAATGTAAGGGGCATTCTTCCCACTGACCCCCAATGTAAGGGGCATTCTTCCCACTGACCCCCAATGTAAGGGGCATTCTTCCCACTGACCCCCAATGTAAGGGGCATTCTTCCCACTGACCCCCAATGTAAGGGGCATTCTTCCCACTGACCCCCAATGTAAGGGGCATTCTTCCCACTGACCCCCAATGTAAGGGGCATTCTTCCCACTGACCCCCAATGTAAGGGGCATTCTTCCCACTGACCCCCAATGTAAGGGGCATTCTTCCCACTGACCCCCAATGTAAGGGGCATTCTTCCCACTGACCCCCAATGTAAGGGGCATTCTTCCCACTGACCCCCAATGTAAGGGGCATTCTTCCCACTGACCCCCAATGTAAGGGGCATTCTTCCCACTGACCCCCAATGTAAGGGGCATTCTTCCCACTGACCCCCAATGTAAGGGGCATTCTTCCCACTGACCCCCAATGTAAGGGGCATTCTTCCCACTGACCCCCAATGTAAGGGGCATTCTTCCCACTGACCCCCAATGTAAGGGGCATTCTTCCCACTGACCCCCAATGTAAGGGGCATTCTTCCCACTGACCCCCAATGTAAGGGGCATTCTTCCCACTGACCCCCAATGTAAGGGGCATTCTTCCCACTGACCCCCAATGTAAGGGGCATTCTTCCCACTGACCCCCAATGTAAGGGGCATTCTTCCCACTGACCCCCAATGTAAGGGGCATTCTTCCCACTGACCCCCAATGTAAGGGGCATTCTTCCCACTGACCCCCAATGTAAGGGGCATTCTTCCCACTGACCCCCAATGTAAGGGGCATTCTTCCCACTGACCCCCAATGTAAGGGGCATTCTTCCCACTGACCCCCAATGTAAGGGGCATTCTTCCCACTGACCCCCAATGTAAGGGGCATTCTTCCCACTGACCCCCAATGTAAGGGGCATTCTTCCCACTGACCCCCAATGTAAGGGGCATTCTTCCCACTGACCCCCAATGTAAGGGGCATTCTTCCCACTGACCCCCAATGTAAGGGGCATTCTTCCCACTGACCCCCAATGTAAGGGGCATTCTTCCCACTGACCCCCAATGTAAGGGGCATTCTTCCCACTGACCCCCAATGTAAGGGGCATTCTTCCCACTGACCCCCAATGTAAGGGGCATTCTTCCCACTGACCCCCAATGTAAGGGGCATTCTTCCCACTGACCCCCAATGTAAGGGGCATTCTTCCCACTGACCCCCAATGTAAGGGGCATTCTTCCCACTGACCCCCAATGTAAGGGGCATTCTTCCCACTGACCCCCAATGTAAGGGGCATTCTTCCCACTGACCCCCAATGTAAGGGGCATTCTTCCCACTGACCCCCAATGTAAGGGGCATTCTTCCCACTGACCCCCAATGTAAGGGGCATTCTTCCCACTGACCCCCAATGTAAGGGGCATTCTTCCCACTGACCCCCAATGTAAGGGGCATTCTTCCCACTGACCCCCAATGTAAGGGGCATTCTTCCCACTGACCCCCAATGTAAGGGGCATTCTTCCCACTGACCCCCAATGTAAGGGGCATTCTTCCCACTGACCCCCAATGTAAGGGGCATTCTTCCCACTGACCCCCAATGTAAGGGGCATTCTTCCCACTGACCCCCAATGTAAGGGGCATTCTTCCCACTGACCCCCAATGTAAGGGGCATTCTTCCCACTGACCCCCAATGTAAGGGGCATTCTTCCCACTGACCCCCAATGTAAGGGGCATTCTTCCCACTGACCCCCAATGTAAGGGGCATTCTTCCCACTGACCCCCAATGTAAGGGGCATTCTTCCCACTGACCCCCAATGTAAGGGGCATTCTTCCCACTGACCCCCAATGTAAGGGGCATTCTTCCCACTGACCCCCAATGTAAGGGGCATTCTTCCCACTGACCCCCAATGTAAGGGGCATTCTTCCCACTGACCCCCAATGTAAGGGGCATTCTTCCCACTGACCCCCAATGTAAGGGGCATTCTTCCCACTGACCCCCAATGTAAGGGGCATTCTTCCCACTGACCCCCAATGTAAGGGGCATTCTTCCCACTGACCCCCAATGTAAGGGGCATTCTTCCCACTGACCCCCAATGTAAGGGGCATTCTTCCCACTGACCCCCAATGTAAGGGGCATTCTTCCCACTGACCCCCAATGTAAGGGGCATTCTTCCCACTGACCCCCAATGTAAGGGGCATTCTTCCCACTGACCCCCAATGTAAGGGGCATTCTTCCCACTGACCCCCAATGTAAGGGGCATTCTTCCCACTGACCCCCAATGTAAGGGGCATTCTTCCCACTGACCCCCAATGTAAGGGGCATTCTTCCCACTGACCCCCAATGTAAGGGGCATTCTTCCCACTGACCCCCAATGTAAGGGGCATTCTTCCCACTGACCCCCAATGTAAGGGGCATTCTTCCCACTGACCCCCAATGTAAGGGGCATTCTTCCCACTGACCCCCAATGTAAGGAGCATTCTTACTGGCCGCCGGTGTGAGGGAGCAATCATTCTGTCACATTGAGTCCTGGGTGTCACACCTTCTCAGCTTCCTGTTCCTGGTAATGTGCCCCGTGAGCTGTATATATAATAATCATTGTCGGGGATTTCCCGAGACCTGAAAGTCACTTCAAGAGTTCCAAAAGTCATTCAGAGGAGCCGCCCCGGCCATTGTCCGATAATGACATTGTATCTGTGTGTTCCCGGTTGTCAGACAATTACCATTCTTGTAAAGTCTAATTGTTCCGGAACATTCTGCGAAGGAGAGCAGAACATTGCGACACGTCTCATGTTTCTTGGCGTGACCGCGCGGCTTCACAAATATTTGTAGACGTGTACAACAAAGGCCGATGTGTGGCGGAGACTCTGGCCCTGTGTGCTGCCTGCCGGGAACTCTAATATTGTTCAGCAATCATCCGATATTCATTATCTTTTAGAGGAACCCGAATAATAAAAAAATGATGTCCACACTCCATACATCAATCAATCAATCGATCAATCAATCATCCTCTGTCATTAATAGCCCATTATTAATATTATTATTATTCTGTTGAGCTAATGCACAATTTGCCATGCGTGGTACCACAGCGTGCA